AGATCTATGAAAACTTGAAAATCTTGAAAATTGACGGTCCAAAAATGTATTACTAAATACCCTATTTCCAAAACTTGAAATCTATTTTTTTTTTTCATTTCTATGTATTTTGAGATGATCAATTTGAAGATTTTTGAGCATAAAAACAACCTCTTCTAGTAAAATTTTTGAGGTAGGCTCAAATTTGAATGTTTAGAGCCTCAACTCTATATAAACTTTCTCCTACTAAGATTGGTTTTCAGTTTCTATAAAACTTTCACCACTTTTATGAGTTTTAAGTTTGGGTGTAGTTTGCATAAGGTTGCAACTTTGATAGATCAAAGTAAGGCGTACCTCCAAACTTTGTGATAAAGATGCAATTTTGGCATCGAAAATTTTTAAGATGGCTTGAGAATCTATTTTAATATTTTAATTATAAAATTTTAAACTTGAAAGATTGTACAAATCATGTAGATCTATAAAATTATGAAAATCTTGTATATAGACGGTCTAAATAATGTATTGCAAGATGTACTATTTTTAGTATTAAATTTTTTTTTTTTTATGAATTTTTTATATGCACCTTAATTCTACAATATAAGGTATCAACCTGATGTTTCCCTTATATAAACTTTATCCTTAAATATTTAACTCAGCAGAAAGGGAAAATTTTAGTAAAATATTGTAGCATGTAAAGGGCATCACTTTCTTAAAACTGGCTTTAGGATTTGAGAGGCAAAAATGAATTTCTCTAAATGCATTTCAAGCAGCGTAGATTTACTTACCCAAAAACAAAAAAATAGCAACGTAGATTTATGTGAAGAATTAAAATTGTGAATGGTCTCAAATGGAATATTAAAATAATCTATTTTAAAATTCAAATTCCGATCTTTCATTTTTTTCAAATTTGCGATCATGGTATCTAACATATAAAATTTTAATTCCAAAATCTACTTGTCAGAAGGATTTTTGGTGTACACATTAATGTGGACGTGGACAGGTTTGAGGCGCACAAGAATCCGAATATGAGATTTGATGAGGCCCAATCTAATGGTCAAAAATTAGTTTTATATTTTTTATTTTGTATTTAAATAAAATATTTATCTGAATTTAGGTTGTAGATTTATTTTATAGAGAGATAACTAAATAAAAATGACTGAAAATTTTTAAATGAAAAACATCCAAAATACCTCTAAATTTATTTTGATCAATATTTTTATCATTTTTATTCAATTCTAATTATATAAAAAAGCTGGAACCCAAATTTCAGCTTAATATTATTTTTAAATAAAGCTTTAAAATAAAAAACTATATTTATTTTTGGCTGTTGGATGAGGTTGGTTCAACTCGAACCAATCAAAGGGGCTTGTGCACTTTCTAAGCGTCCAAAGACTGAGGACACAATACTATCCTTTTTCGAGTTAAGACAGTGAATTTTGAGCTTGCGACTCCACCAAAACCCGTGGAAATCTATGTGATAGCTTTAAAATATATTTTTATTTTTATTTATAAAATTTAAAGCTTAAAAATCTTAAAAATTGACGGTCAAAAAATACGTTACAAGATGTACTATTTTCAAAATTTGAAATCTATTTTTTTTTGTGTCCATACATCAAAATGTCGAGTTGATAAATTTGAAGATATTTGGGCATCAAAATAACCTCTTTGAAAAAGTGGGCTCTAATTTGATTGTTTAGACCCTGGGCTCCATAAACCACTCTGATTTTATAAAAATGTGCCGTTTATATAGAGCCTAGGCTCTAAACAATCAAAGTAGAGCCTACCTTCAAATAGTATTGAAAAATATGGTTTTAATACTGAAAATTTTTATGATAGCCTTAAAATATATTTTTATCTTCATTTACAAAGTTTAAAGCTTCAAAAATAATGTAGATTGCCAAATATATGAAAACTTGAAAATCTTGAAATTGACGGTCCAAAAATGTGTTACAAAATACACTATTTTCAAAAAATCTATTTTTTTCACTTTTCCATACATCTTGATGTCGTGATGATCAATTTGAGGATATTTGGGCATCAAAATAAAGTCTTATAGTGAAATTTTTGTGGTAGGCTCTAATTTGATTGTTTAGAGCTTCAGCTCTATATAAACTTTTTCCTTTTATAAAAACATTGCAAAACCGTTGATTGAGATCTTCCACGGATAAAGGCTGATCCAATCGAGACCGTCCATTAACGTAACATTGAGATATCGGTTTTGACGATCAAACAGTAAGTAAAGATTCGAAAAAGAAAAAACATTAGACGATGGTCTGAGTAAACTTTCACTGACAAAAACAGAGAAACTGAGGACAGAGGAGAGAGAGTAAAAAAAAAAAAAGAGGAGAGACAAAGAGAGCAAAACGTTTCCATGGCTCGATATTAACTTGGCTTATCCAAGGATCTGTGCAGGCATGTTGCAAGACCAAACACCACCTTATTTTGTTTATATTCCAAAATCCATGAAACTCTCCATCTCTTTTCATGCCTTTCCCCCTCTTATTATATTCCAAAAATTAGGTAAACTACAAAATTGTTTCCTAAATTTTCATAGGTTACGTGTTGTTGTTTATTTTAGAAGATCTTTCAATCCCAACCCTCCGTTTTTTTATTGCATCTAACCTAGTGATTTTCGATTTGTCACCCTATAAACCTTCCTCTTCTCCTCAATTTTTGAAGAAAATTTCTTGCTTTTCTTCTTCTGGTTTCTTCCCAAACAATCTGGAATTTCTTTGCTGTGTTTTTTTTTTACGAAAAGTTTGAATCGAGATCCAATAATGGATACTTGGTTTTATCTCTGAAACCACATCCATGCAGATGAGATTCTCTCTCTAAAATCCGAAGCTCTTCGGTGCTGACTCCAGGAGATCGGAAGCTATGGCAGCCATTACCAACACAGCGGCTGTCAGCAAGGAGATTCGAGACTATCGTGGACTGCGAAGGTCGTATTCTGATCCTCACATTCCCTGCCAAGTCTCGTCAGTCCGCTCGTCCCCTTCGTCATCTTCACTCTCTTCTCTCGCTTCGTCTTCCTCAGGGAATGATCTCCGGCACAAGAGAGCTTTCCCTTTCCCTTTCTTCTCAGGCACAATGCAACTACCCCAGTCGCTGCGCTCTCTCCTCGACCACCAGGTTGCCAAACAACCGACCGAAGTGGAAGAAGAGGAGAAAGCCATGAAGCCTCTCACAGGGAGGCGTAATGAGAGAGAGGGCAAATACGAGGAGGTTCTCAATTTGGTGGGATCAGTTCTAGAGAGAGAGACACCTGAAACTGGGGGGATTTTTCATGTCGGGGGCTCGGAAAGCATGGCCGTCGTGGAAGAGAGCTCTTCTTCTTTTCTCGGAATCGAAGAAAGTGATGAGAAAGTGAAAAGATCAAATTGGATCATGAGGCTACTAGAGCTGAGGAGCCATTGGAGAGATCGTCAAAAAGAGATGATAGGTAATGAGGATTTTGAGGAAGAAGGTGAAGTGGGCAGTTGTGAAGATGGTTGTGGGGTTGAGGAAGAAGAAGGAAATGAAAGTCTCTCGAAGTTTCTGGTTCGAGCTTCGTTGGATGACATCAAGGTTTATGCTCAGTTGGCCTTCCTCTGCAATCTCGCCTACGTTATTCCGGAGATCAAGGTAACGTCATTTTAATCACCACAATTTCTTTTCTTTCTTTACTTTCCAGTATAGCAACTCAAGAAAACTATTGTAGAAAAAATAAAAACATAAAAAGATATTTAGTTTTTTTGTTTAAAAAAAATTAGTCAAAGAGACCATTTACTTTGGGACCCAGTTTCTATGCAGCCAACCTGCATACGTAGAAATACGTGCTTATTAATAAATCTATTTTGAGATGGATTTTAAACTTTTAAGGACATGTAATCATTAACATGGAGATCATGAATGGGAAAAAATAAATAAAATTTATAAAATAAAAATAATATTTTTAATAAAAAAACATTTGAACCGTTAATTTCCATTGTTGTTAGATAGAACACCTACTTGTATCTATCTTTATTATGGATGCTTTACACTCTTTGAACAGTTTATGTAGAAATGCGGTCCAGCCCACATGAAACAATTTTCTTTTACTTTTTGTACTAAGTGGCCGCAATCTCACTCTTGTCCATCAGATTTTAAATCTTATGGTTGTAAGAATTGCATTGGACTCAAAGTTAAAAAAAAATAAAAAAAAAAATCAAACATTGTGATATCCATCAAGCCATCGAATTTGACATGTAATGGTTAGGAGTGATTGTAATATCCTTACAACAAAAGTAAATGGTCTCATTGTATACAATCTAAAAAATACTCATTTTGTAATGCAACCATTCATTTTAAAGATTTTTAAGTGTTTATAGATATATTCAATCTGCAATATTTTTGGATCTTTAAATTTTATAAGGGCATAAACAAATTTTCAAGCTAACATAAAAGTTTCCAGTATTAGAATTGCATCTTCTAGCAAAGTTTAAAGTTTCTAGCAAAGTTTAAAGTTTGGAGGTGCGCGTTACTTTGCGTTACTTTGATTATTTGGGTGTACCTTATAAAAATCATACCCTTATTTGTTATTTATTTGTTATTTATGTGTGGTAGTAATATTTGTTATTTATTTGTTATTTATGTGTGGTAGTAAAAAGACAATGATTGTATACTACAAGACCTTTTGCTTCATGGGTAACAAGGTCACATTTTTCTAGCCATAAAATGTGAAATCCGGAGGCTAGAGATTTTTAATACTTTTTTATTTTTTGGTAAATAAGAATTTTAGGACTATGATTTAACCACACCATTTTAGACAAAAATGATTGTGATCTTTTTTTGTTGATGCTCAGGTACAAAATGGTATTATTTTTTAGAGAAATCCAAGTCACTAATGCTTTTAAGTTTTAACCATTTTCTCGTTTTCCACGGCAACTGCCGATTCTTGTGATCCTGCCACGGTGGCAATACAAGACGTTGCTTAGTTGGCCTTATCGTTCTCGATTTGGGTTAATTACAAAATAAGAGCCCCATGGTTTTTAACTTTCTATTATTTGAATGAGGAAAAGTAGGGTTTTCTATTCGCATTTTTAACTTTCTATCAAGTACACCGATTCGTTTTATTTGTGTAGGTCCAAAGGAATATTTGTGAGAAAAAAAATATTAATAGCCCTCAAGAAAAGACTTCCCGTACAACATACCCTTAAGCAAACTTTGTTTTTCACTTTTGACCTGAACTAAGCTTTCTTAGCAAATACCCTCGAGTCATCAAAAACTTAAAATGAGATCAAAATATCCTATGAAAAACATAGGGTCCACCACAAAATGGGGGCGGTTCGGCACTTTGCTTTTGGAAAGCATGTGGTCCGACACAAAATAAGGGCGGTCCGGCACAAAATAGGAGTGGTCTGGTATTTTGGGCATGCGCTCTGGCACAAAATGGGGGTGGTCCGGTACTTTTTGGAAAGCATGCGATTCGGCACAAAATAGGGGCGATCCGGCATTTTGGGTATGCGGCCTGGCACAAAATGGGGCTGTCCGACACTTTGCGCTTATGGAAAGCATGCAGCCTGACCCAAAATAGGGGCAGTCCGGCACTTTAAGCATGCAATCTGGCATGAAATGAGGGCAGTCTGGCACTATAGGCATTTTCATCAAATATATATATATATATATATATATATATGCATTTTTTGACTTAGGAGTATTTGTTACGAAATATTAATTTAGGATAAAAGTTGCTAAAAAAAGGTTTGTTGGGAGTAGGTTGTTTAGAAAGTCTCAAGGTTTTTTTATTTTTTTGGGGTAATTTTTCCTATTTGTTAGGCATATAAGGTATATTGTAAGTTTCAACGGCCAATAATGTTTCAATTAATTCGTACCGAAATATTTGGTTGGGGAAGCTATCTGTAATAAGAAACCAACGAACCAGTAACATGGCCTCCACAGGACCCCACACTCTTTGAAAACGACTCTTGTAATTGACCTAATCCTATTAGGAACCTCAAAACAATCAAATTAACGTGCACCTTCAAACAATTTCATTAGATACGATTTTGGAATTTCATTAGATATGATTTGGTGTGAAAATTATTAGGATGCGGCGAGAATCTATTTTTATAGTTAGTTATAAAATTTTACACTCTAGAAAGGGTTCAAATCAAATCAAGTAGAGCTATATATACATTAAAATATTAAAAATGAATGGTAATGTGTTGCAAGATGTACTATTTTTAAGACTTATAATCTCTTTTGTTTCTCCATATTTATACATCTCGATGTTGAGATGAACATTTAGATGTTTTCTTAACATCAAAACAACTTTTTTCAAAAGATTTTAGAGGTGCACTTCAATTGAAGTGTCAACCTTATATAAACTTTTTCCTTTTGGGAAAGGGCAATTGATTCGTGATTCTATCAAATTGTGCGGGTCGTATCATGATTTCTATCTTCGAGTGAGTTTTAGCTACTTTTGCCCAAAAATTTTGATTTTTATCGTATTTTTGTGAATAAAGTAAATATTGCTTTGGAAAAGATGAACTTATTTGTAAAATTTCCCGTTTATCTCATGTACCTTTATGATGGAAACTACCAAACAACAAGTAATTCATAATCAGGATTAATTTTATTGAAATTATGAATTATCAGGGATAATGAGTACATCTGGAGAAGCCATTAATGTCATGCCTATATTAAACTAGATTTGATCACTTTTAATTCGGGATGTTTCTACAAGTCCCCACACTTATATATATAGAAATGCGGCCCCCCTTAAAAATCCATTTTTAAAATAAATATGAGACCCTGAATTGAAGGAATATACAATCCCTAACATGGAGATCATTAATGTGATAAAAATAATAAATTTAAAAAACTAAAAAAAAAAAAAAATTGAGCTAAAAATGAGCGATTGATTTTACCTTTTTCATGGAGGAACCATCACCGACCTCCATCTTTAGATTGCTGGTTTATGCTTGGGGAATGCAAATTCAGTAATGTGTCCCTAGATGCATAAACTACTTTTCCTTTAATTTTAAATGACCAAAATTCCATCATGGACAGGGCGGAGACTTGTGGAGGTACTACCGGCTTCGTTGGGTCACCTCCTCCTTAGAGAAGAAGGCTGAGGCTGCTGCCAAAGCCCATCCGCCCGAAAAAGATCCCAAGGGCAGCACCACCCACACAGATTCCAGTAGCCGAGAAGGCACCCGAAGGGCCTCAGCGGCATACGAGATAGCAGCTGCAGGAGCCTCGTATGTGCACTCTTTCGTCCCTAAGTACCCCTCAGAGCAAGCACAGATGCAAACAGCAACCTATAAGTCAGAGATGGCGGCATATATGGCTGCTTCAACAATGACTGCGATGGTTGCAGCCGAGGAGGTGGCGAAACAGGCAGCTGCAAGGGAGCTTCAGTCCCTCCACTCTTCCCCTTGCGAGTGGTTTGTATGCGATGATCCTGGTTCGTGCACTCGCTGCTTTGTCATTCAGGTAGGTAGATAGGGTAAATTTTTGCTTCTCTTTTCTAGTGATTTTTTTTTTGTGAGAAATTTAGAGCATGATTGGTTCACATGAAAATATTTTCTAGAAATCAATTTCACATAAAAAAAATTCTCTCATGTGGTTAAGTGTGGGAATATTTTTGCATCAATTAGTTGCCAATTGATGTGAAAAGATGCACTAAAATCAATTGGTATGAGAATATTCCCCCACTTGACCGTATGAGAGAATTTTTTCATGTGAAAATATTTTCTAAAAAACATTTTCACGTGAAACAAATGTGCCATTAGAGTTTGAAGGGCTGCGTATTGATTGATTTGGTGTTGGTGCAGGGTTCTGACTCATTGAGCTCGTGGCAGGCAAATTTGTTGTTCGAGCCCACTCAATTTGAGGTTTGGTGGCGTGGCCTTTGTTTTTATTTTTATTTTTTTAACATTACCAATGAATTTCCATTAAAAGAAAACAATTTACAAGATACAAACAAAGCCATTGGAAGAAAGTAATCACCTCCTAAGATTGGTGTACTCCTTTTTGCAAGATAATCAGCCTCGACATTAGCCTCCCGATAGAAATAGCTTTCTTAATGTGGTGGCTGATGTGCTACTATTCTTATTTTGAATGGATGGCTCATTTTTCAGTTTATTTGAGGGGCAAAATTGGTTTTAGACTTTTTGCTGAGTGTTGTGGCTTGGTGTGTTAAATCCAGGGGATGGATGTTTTGGTGCACAGAGGGATCTACGAGGCTGCCAAGGGCATCTACGAGCAGTTCCTACCGGAGATCCTCGACTACCGTGCTCGGCATGGTGACAAAGCTCGCTTCCGCTTCACAGGACACTCCCTTGGAGGCAGTCTCTCTTTGTTGGTCAGCCTCATGCTCGTCGGGAGGGGTGTGGTGGCGCCCGAGCGAGCCCTTCCTGTGGTGACATTCGGCTCACCATGCATTATGTGTGGGGGCATGAGGGCACTCGAGGCACTGGGGTTGGATGAGGGCCATGTTCACTCTGTCATGATGCACAGGGATGTTGTTCCCCGAGCCTTCTCATGCACCTACCCTAACCATGTTGCCGTTGTTCTCAAGCGACTGAGTGCCCACTTCCGCAACCACCCCTGTCTCCTCAACAATGTACGTTTCTCTCTACCCTATTCTATTCAAAAGTATAAATTCACAAGTGTTTGTATCAGTGTTTGAAAATTCGTCGTGTTGTCCGGTTCGACACAGAAATCGGCACGACTCCACCATATCACGTAAAATCAATCGTGTCTGAGAATCGGGAGATTCGTAGTGATAACTCGGCGAGTCGCTACAATGATACAGGCGATTTTGAGATTTGTAGCTAGAGAGAATCGGGAGACTCGTAGCGATAACTCGGCGAGTCGCTACAATGACACGGGCAATTTTGAGATCCGTGGCGACTCGATTTTGAGATTCGTACTCGGTGAGTCGCTGCAATGACACGCGCGATGCGATTTTGAGATTCGTAGTTAGAGAGAACCGGGAGATTCGTATCGATAACTTGGCGAGTCGCTATAGTGACAAGGGCGATTTTGAGATGTGTAGCGACTCGATTTTGAGATTTGTAGCTAAGAGAACCTTGGCGAGTCGCTGCAGTGACACAGGTGATTTTGAGTTCGTAGCGACTCAATGCGATTTTGAGATTCGTAGCGACTCGATTTTGAGATTCGTAGCTAGAGAGAACCAGGAGATTTGTTGTGCGATTTTGAGATTCGTAGCGGTAGCTAGAGAGAACCGGGAGATTCGTATGCGATTTTGCGATTCGTAGAGGTAGCTAGAGAGAACCGGGAGATTTCGTAGTGCGATTTTGAGATCCGTAGCGATAACCCAGCGAGAGATTCATAGTGCAATTTTGAGATTCATAGCCGTAGCTAGAGAGAATCGTCGGCGAGCATGAGAGATTCGTAGTGCAATTTTGAGATTCGTTACAGTAGCTAGAGAGAACCAGGGTAGCTAGAGAGAACCGAGTGATTCGTAGTGCGATTTTGAGATTAGTAGCGATAGCTCGGCTAGAGATTCGTAGTGCGATTTTGAGATTCGTAGCGGTATCTAGATAACTGGGAGATTCGTAGTGCGATTTTGAGAGAACCGGGGTAGCTAGAGAGAATCGGGAGATTAGTAGTGCGACTTTGAGATTCGTAGCGGTAGCTAGAGAGCACCGTTGGCGAGAGCAAGAGATTCGTAGTGCGATTTTGAGATTCGTAACGTGATTTTGAGATTCATAGCGATAGCTAGAGAGAACCGGGAGATTCGTAGTGCGATTTTGAGATTCGTAGCGATAACTCGACGAGTCGCTATAGCGACACAGGTGATTTTAATGGGTCATGGGTAGGAGTCCGAAATTTTTTTAAAATTGAGGGGCATTTTTGATGCTACACGGGCAGTGCATGGGTCTCAATCCTGCTAAGTAACTGGCGCATTTATTGATGACCCGACAGAAAGATTTATACCATGTAGACTTATATTAAAGCTTCGATGTGTGGGATAATTCCCACACATTGTGCGCACAAAATCATTATAATGTTTAGACAGCAATTCAGAGTGTATTATTATTATGTGGTGCAGTTGGTTATGACTCACAATTTCTTCTTGGACATCTCAACTTCGAGCCCTTTGGGCGCCATCCAACTTATTTTTCTTTCTTAAAAGAAAGAAAATAAAGTAAAAGGAAAAAAATAAAAAATAAAAGGTTTTTCCAAAAAAAAAGTCTAAAAGGAAAAAAATAAAGTAAAAGAAAAAAAATAAAAAATAAAAGGTTTTTTTTTTTAAAAGGGTAATACAATATGTTTTAATTTTCTTGTCAAAAGAACAAAAGGCAATATAACAAGTATTAAAACGTAGTATAACAAGTATTTCTTGTCAAAAAATAAAATATAAAATATAAAATATAAAAAAATTAAAAGGTACCTTGGTAGCATCATTTTTTTAGTTTTGTTGTCAAAAAAAAATTGAAAGGTAATACAACAAGCAAAAAAAAATATAGCACAACATCTCATTAGTTTTTTGGATTTGTCATTATTTATATAATAAAATAATTATTATATAAACCAGTAATTTCAATTTCAGTATATAATATTATAGTTAGTTAGGTTATAATAATTTTATATTATAGTCAGTTAGGTTGTAATAATTTGGGTTTTTTTTTAACATATTAGGGTTTTTTGCCAATTAGAGATTTTAGTGGCCACTTTTTCATCGATTTAATGCACTCTTTATTGTAGTCCATGTATGATTACATAATTTATCCATGATAATTCTATGATTTTTCTTTTGTATGATGTAAATTTAATGGTTAACATAAGTTCATATAAGGAAATAACATCTCAATATTCGTAAATTGATGAAAAAAAATGAAAGTTAATAATGCAGGACCCCCATTTTTTACTGGATTTCTAAAAAACAACATTTATAATGAAATTTATTATTTTTTTTGGATTTTTTTTTAAGCTTAATTTGACCGATTCGATCGATTCCCGATCTGAATCGCCGATTCACAGATCCAGATGGGTTTTTAAAGTGTTTGATCCGGGGCACCGATCCGTTTTTGATACCACTGGTTTATACTAATAAAGTTTCAAGTACAGTTGTAAAGACTAGATTGAATGGTGGTTAGAGCAATGGAACCGAGAAGCAGTCTACTAGCTAGTCTGATCTATAGTAAAAACTGGGTCGAAACTGGTTAAAATTAATATTTGATCGGTTTAGATGGATAAAATAATCAGATTTAAGAGGTTCACCAATCAAATGAAGTTAAGAAAATTTTGTAATATATTTTTTATTTCTAAAATTATTATATGAATTTTTTATTTTATTTATTTTTAAAATCTAATTTAACCAGTTTGACCAATGATTGGACTGGTTTCGATTGAAACACACTCCTCACTAGATTGGCAGCCAGTCCAATCCTCGTAAAAGTGGTTTCAAGCCACTTACTCCTCTTTTCTTTGATGGTGTAACCAGAAACTATTGTATTCTCCAATGGGGCAATCTTTGATCCTTCAACCGGATGAGAAAGTGTCGCCTCCTCACCCATTGCTCCCTCCGGGAAGCGCCCTATACGCTCTCGAGAGGGGGCCTCAAGTGCAGGCAGCCCTAAGGACCTTCCTCAACACCCCTCATCCTTTGGAGACCCTCAGTGACCCCACGGCCTATGGGTCAGAGGGGTCCATACTGAGGGACCACGACTCCAGCAACTACCTCAAGGCTATCAATGCTGTGCTCAGGCAGCAGACCAAGCAGATGAGGCGCACCCACCGCCTCCACCGGTGCCACGATTGGTGGCCCCTTGTTGCTTCCTCATCCCCCTCTCCACATGTTGCTGTGTACACCATGGACTCGCCGCCATTTCCTCTGCCTCAGCGGGAGATGGCAGCCGCAGTCAAGACTTAGAGAGAGATAGTACGAGATTGCCTAAATTCTAAATTGTGAAGTGGCTGTCGAGAGAGAATCTGTTGCCTAAATTGTGTGTAGAGACAGAGAGAATAGCTAAATAATTATGCAGAAAGATGGCCAGACGATTGTCGTTCTTTGGTGTACATAAATGTGGCAGCGAAGTATAGACTGGAAAATGAAAATTGGATTTATTTAGTTGGGAAAAACGTGAAAAATGTAATATATCACAATAAAATGCCCATACAGTTCCTTGTTATGTCTCTAAGGCTTCTATGATATATTATTTTCCTAGGTGTTCTCTGTGTGCATTAGGTTGCCTATTTGATGTAAGCATGACACATAGGTTTCATTTTCTTTTCTTTTTCTTGGCAAAAATTTAACTTCATTAGCCATGGAGAGGAAATACAACAATTTGCAGAAACTTCCAAGAAAACTGAAGGCATTGAAATGCTCCTACTGACTACAGCCCACTCTCCATTTGCTTCTCTGTAAACATGGCTTGAATGATACAGCCGATGTATATCGATGATTTGGAACCAAATAGATTTTCTCACACTATTTGATTGCATTCATTGAGTCCTCTTTTACATTTATTAAATAGGCATATGTTGGTCAAAAAGTACTTTTAACCCCTTTAACAAATATTTTAAAAAACGGATTGGTCACCCAGATTGGCCATCTGGAAAACCGATTTGGATCCGCGGATCGGCTATCTGGATCGGTAGATCAATCAGATTAGCCGGATCCGGCCTTAAAAAGCCTTAAAAAAATCACTAAAATTTATTAAAAATCTAGTTTTCTAGGTTTCGAAAATATATTTTTTTTCATTAGTTTAACAAGAATGCGTATATAATGAACCAACCAAATTTGGAGTGGATGCGATGTAGATTTAAGTGGTTGAAAGAGGGAGGGGGATGCAAATACAATTTATTTTTATTCAATTGCTAACTCTAGAAGACGACAAAGTGATATTTCTGCCATTGTTTTTGAAGGAGTACAGGAGAATGATACAGAGGAGTGGGAAAAAGGATTTGTCAATCATTTTAAGAAAAAAATTTCTACTGAGATGCAGTTTCAGGTGAATTATCCGTGGGTTCATTTTAAAAGCTTGTCTACGGAGTTGGCACATGAGCTTGAGAGTATTGTAACAGAGAGGGAATTGAAAGCAGCAGTTTTTGCATTACCGGGAGATTAGGTTCCTAGACCAGATGTGTTTACACTCTTCTTCTTTAAAAAATTTGAGGATAATGCCAAATTTGACCTTATGTTGATGGTTCCAGAGTTCTTTAATAGAGGAGTTATTCATAAAGGAATTAACATAACTTTTACAGCCCTTATCCATAAACATACCACAATTTCTGGAATATCGGATGTTAGGCCAATTAGTCTTCTGACTAGCTTATATAAAATCATAGCTAAGATCTTGGCGGAAAGGCTAACGAATGTGTTGAAACATGTTATTTTAGGGCCATGAACTGCTTTTATTAAGGATTGGGTTATCACAAGAATGTATTCATTCGAAGCAGATAAGTAGAAGGCCAGAAATTGTGTTAAAATTAAATATGGAGAAAGTGTATGATAGGGTGGATTGGGGAGTATTGATGGAGATTTTGAGGTGTATGGGATTTGGGAAAAAGTGGAGATCCTTAATCAAGGGATGTATTTCTAGTGATTTTTCTCAATATTAATTAATGGAAGTCCTAAAGGTTTCTTTGGAGCTACAAGGGGATTGCGACAAGGTGATCCACTTTCTCCCTTTCTTTTTACCATGATAGCATAAGCTTTTAGTCTTATAATCTCTAATGTAGTATCAAGTAATCACTTTAATGGCTTTAGGATTGTTGATAATAATGATTTAATCATTTCACATTTATAATATGCAGATGATACATTGCTGTTTTATGGGGCAGAGGTGGAAAAGTATTAAAGATATGCTTTAATGATGTGAAGTGGTATTGGGTCTAAAGGTAAATTTCGAGAAAACTTCCATAGTGGGGATTGGCTGTACACAAGGAAATAATGGAGAACTTGGCTGATATTATGGAGTGTAGAGTGAAACCTTTCCTATTAAGTACTAAGGGATTCCTATTAAGTACTTAGGGATTCTGACGTCATATTCTAAACTAATCAAATCAGTCTGGGACCCAGTTATTCAAAAAGCACATCTCAAGCTGGATTTCGAAGCACTTAACTTTAGAAGGTATACTTACATTGATACGAGTATCATTATTTAATTTGCCGATATGTATGATGTCTTCTTTGGTGATGATGGCATCAGTGTGTAACCATTTGGAGCAGTTAGCGAGGAACTTTTTGTGGGGATCATATGGAGATAGTCGTAAATTTCATTTGGCCAACTGAAAGAGAGTACACATTCCAAAAAAAGGATGGTGGGATGGGGATAAGAAGGATTAAGATGGTAAATCACGCACTGCCTGCAAAATGCTGGTGAAGGTCTTAACATATGTGATGATCAACTATAGTAGAGCAAATGATCAATCTTATATGTGGAGAGGTATTGTGGGCAATAGAATATTGGTTTTGGGGAGTTTGAGGTGGATATTGGGTAATGGTAGTTCAATCTATTTTTGGCATAACAGATGGTTAGGGGAGAGGCTTTAAAATATCAGTTCCCACAATTGTTTGAATTATCAATATGTCAAAATGCTAAAGTGGCGAAGTTGGTTGATATTCGTGGGGGAAATATAGAATGGAAAATTCATTTAAACAAAAATAGGGTGTCTGACGTTGTGGTTGTGCAGTATACAGAACTTTTGAGCTATTTTAAAGAAAGCAATATCTCACAAACAATGGAAGATGATGTGATATGGGGGATGGAGAATAATGGGGATTTTAGTGTTCGATCTGCATATGATCTTTTGTTTTATGACAGGTTGAGATGGAGCAATGTTTCATTGCATCAGATATGGAGTTGGTCAGTACCCTTGAAGGTTCGTGGTTTTTTATGGATATTATTTCAAGGAAAAACCTTAATGGTAGACAATTTACTTAAGGAAAAATATTAGTCAATGTGTGTATCCTTTGTAAAGAGAATGGAAAATATGGGGATCACCTTTTTCTCATTGTCTTTTTACATATGGATTGTGGTGTTGGATATTCCAATTGATGGGGATGTCAATGGTTTTTCCTAGTTCAAATGTAGACATTTTGGAACATTGGGATGGTGGGAGTCTTCAAAAATTGGAAGAAAGATTTGGTAGATTGTTGTGGCGGTAGTACTATGGGAGATTTGGAAGGACAGAAATAATAGGGTTTTTGAAGATAAAGGTGTTTAAGTGTGATAAAAAAAAGAATCATTCACAATATTTGGAATTGCTTCTCGGTTACAAAAGAGGATTTTGAGATATCGGAAGTTCATGTTTCAGTCAATCTTTCTAATTTGATGCGAGTGTGTGGAGGCCGCCAATTAATGTCATACTCATGTTGAACTTTGATAGCAGCTCGATGGGGAATCCGGGTGTAGCAGGATATGGTGGTGTTATAAGAAATGTCAATGATGAAGTGGTTTTATGTTATGCAGGACCATGTGGAGGGACATCAACGAATTATACGGAGATGGAAGTTGTGTTACAAAGATTGTGTATTGTTTTTGAGCGATACAGGACATTGGCCTATTATTGTTGAAGGAGATTCAATGAACATTATAAATTGGTGTTATAAGGAGGCTCGATCGCCATGGAGTTTAAAGGTAAAATGGACGGAAATCATGGATATTATTGGTCAGATGATAGTCTCATTTCAACATATGTATAGAGAGGCAAACTCGATAGCTGATGACTTGGCAAAAGAAGGGGCTTAATTTGTTGAATTAGTGGTTGGTAAAGAGCTCATTCCTTGACGTTTCTTTGTTATGTTGTAAATCTGTAACATCTTTTAGTGATTAATAAAATTATAGCACTCTTATCAAAAAAAAAAAAACAGGAGTGAGTGAGGCATTTTGTGTAGAAACAGTATTTTATTAGGGAGGGTGAGAGAGAAATTCACATAAGTCGGTTTCAAAATGGAATCGTGTCATGATAAAGAGAATAGAGGTGGAGTTGGTGGTTCATTACTCACAATCGTTATTTTCAATAGCAGTAGGCAAAAAAATAAGGGGACATTTTAGTCCCACATCGTCAAAGTTTTGTGGGGTTTGGAGAT